AAGATTAGGGAGGTGGGTCTTTTTCCTGATGAGGTGACCCATAGGGCTGTTCTCCAGATATTGTGCGAAAGAAATATGGTTCCGGAGGTGGAAGCTGTGATTGAAGAAATGGAGAACTTGGAAATGCTAATTGATCAAAATTCACTTCCTGTACTTATTAAAATGTATGTCAAAGAAGGATTGTCTGGGCGAGCTAATTTCCTATTTGAGAAATGTCAAGCAAATGGTTGGCTGTCATCGCGGACGTATGCTGCTATAATAGATGTATATGCAGAGAAAGGACTTTGGGCTGAAGCAGAGGCTGTGTTCTACTCCAAGAGAGGTGTTTATGGACAGAAATGGGAAGTCTTGGAGTATAATGTCATGATCAAAGCTTATGGTAAGGCAAAGCTCTATGACAAAGCTTTCTTACTCTTCAAGGGCATGAGAACACATGGGACATGGCCAGATGAGTGCACATACAATTCTCTCATCCAAATGTTTGCTGGAGGTGATTTAGTGGACAAAGCAAGAGACCTCTTTGTTGAAATGCAAAAAGCAGGATTTAAACCTTCATGTTCATCTTTCTCTGCTGTTATTGCTCGGTATGTTCACATGGAAAGGCTTTCTGATGCGGTCGACGTGTTCCAAGAAATGTTACAAGCAGATGTAAAACCAAACGAAGTTGTTTATGGGTCGTTAATTGACGGCTTTGCAGAAGCTGGAAAATTTGAAGAAGCTATTCACTACTTCCATGTGATGGAAGAGTCTGGGATATCAGTAAACCAAGTTGTTTTAACTTCTATGATCAAGGCTTATGGTAAAATTGGGTCTGTGGAAGGAGCAAAACAATTGTACGAGAAGATAAAGAAGTTGAATGGGGGTCCTGATATTGTGGCATCGAACAGCATGCTCAGTCTATATGCAGAGTTGGGAATGGTGTCTGAAGCAAAAATGATATATGATCATTTGAAAGAGAAAAATTGGGCAGATGGAGTTACATTTGCAACCATGATGTATGTATATAAAAACATGGGTATGCTTGATGAAGCTATTGAAGTTGCAGAGGAGATGAAACAGTCACATTTAGTTAGGGACTGCGTAACATTTAATAAAGTGATGGCATGCTATGCTACAAATGGGCAACTAGTCGAGTGTGGTGAGTTGCTGCATGAAATGGTAGTGAATCGGAAGCTTTTGCCCGACGGGGGGACATTCAAAATACTATTTACCATATTAAAGAAAGGAGGTGCCCCAGCCGAAGCAGTAAAGCAGCTTGAGTCATCTTACCAAGAAGGAAGACCTTATGCCAGGCAAGCTGTGATAACCTCTGTTTTTTCTGTAGTGGGTTTACATACATATGCGTTAGAATCTTGTGATATCTTTGAGAACACAGATTTGGATTTTGATTCATTTGCTTATAATGCTGCAATACATGCATATGGGGCTTTGGGGAAAACTGACGAGGCATTGAACATGTTTATGCGAATGCAAGATGCGGGACTAGAACCTGATATCGTTACCTTCATTTATCTTGTTGGTTGTTATGGAAAAGCTGGCATGGTTGAAGGCGTGAAGAGGATCTCTAGCCAATTAAAATATGGAGCAATTGAACCTAATGAATCGTTGTACCAGGCACTGATAGATGCATATAAAATCGCCAACAGGCATGACCTTGCTGAATTGGTTCATCAAGAAATGAGAGTTGCTTCTGATGAGCAACAGTTCACAGATTCTGAAAGTGAAATTGAAAATGACCCAGAAGAATCTTATACAGGTTAATTAAGTCCAAGGAAATGCCCAAAGTCGAAATCTTACTGATGCTGGGACTGAAGAATGTTTTTGATGAAAATTGTGTCATTAGGACACGGATTACCTATTGCAGATTTATTTGTGAGGAACGGGGAGTGACAAGACACAATGATGGGTTCAATCTGGGACATGTTTTCTTGGGGCTGGCTCTCAAATCTCATAATCACCAGGAAAAATGTTTTTATTATCTTGGATGAAAATCATCACAGCTTCAGTTAACTGCTTAAATTAGTATAGCTTTGATTAGTATTTGATTACCCTCGCCCATCCCACATAGTGATGCCAAGAAGTTTTATATGAACAAAGATTGTTTCTCTGATCTCCCATATGCATTAATGCCTTCACTGATCATTGATGAATGAATAATAATACCAATTCTTGCACTTTCTGCAGCCCTTTCTGGGTGTATTAATTTGGTGCTTAATTAGTATAAAATAAAACTAGTTAAAAGTCTCGTTCTTGGTTTTGTCTTGTATACCAAGATTGAATGGATTTGAATTTACTCTGTCAATTGTCATGTCACCGCTAAGTAGCATCTGGAAACTTTTTCTGTTCATCTTCGTTCCATCTTTATTATACCTTTAATAAAGCTGAGAAGAAGAGGTTCTACAAATATCCAACATTCATATCAATTCACTTCCATTGCTTCCTCAAGTAGTATATTGGTGAAACTGAAAATGGACATCTCTTTTTGCTTCTTTCTACTTTGAAGTCATGCAATGGGTGAAGCATGGTATTTTCCTCTTCTACAGTAGCCAGATGAAAGTCGTTTGTTCCAAATTATAAATCAAGCAAAAAGTCGGAATTACAAAATGAATAATTAGCACAAAACGTCCCTACCTTTCAGTGTTACTTAGCAAAAATGTATTTACCTTTCATTTTTTGACATTTTCACCCCTATTTTCACATTTCATTGTGGAAAATGTAATTTTCACCAATTTTTAATGTGAAATGATTAATATACCATTCTATTTAAATTAAAAAAAAAAAAAGAAGTGAAGAAGAAATTGTAATTTTACTCCTAAACTTTTTAAAAAGTGCAACTAAGTTGAAATAAATTATTAAAATATTAAAAATAACGAAAAAAATTTCTCCTCTTCTTTTCATGTCCTTCCCTTCGCCTCCTCCACCACCAAATTGGGGTCGCCACCTTAGAAACTAAAAAATTTTGGTCAACCACCACCCAAACCGTCGAACTTCCATACCATCGAAAAGCCTTCACTTCTCTCTGCACATACCACCCAACATCCAACCATCATACCAACAGATTTGGTTGAAATTGCAAGCCAAAATATCCAACTCGCGAATGCAAATATTGACAGCACAGCCTGTTTCGACAAGATCCATGTCATTCCTAACACACCAATCGACTATACTCATCAAAGCGCCTCTTCATGGTCTTAAAACATTAACAGATGCACAAAATCAAATCTACAGCAACTTCTTTCAAATTTTTATCGGGCAATAAGTGGTTAGAAATTATGGGGCATATTAGAATGAAATTGATGGAAGTCCATTGAAGTAGCATATGCGGTGTGATGTAACGAAACGGGAATGGATGGTTCACGACGGCGGGAACCATTGCCGGTGCAGAAATTGACGGAAAAAGACAACGTGTCGCAAGCACGATAAGCTGTGTTTTTTTTATTGATTTTAGCCATATAAATGTTGTTTGTTCAATTTGCTTATAGGAAAGTGTTTGCCTGTTTGGGGGTTGATGACAGCTGTTTGTAATGTGAGCTTCGGTGTTTTAGGCGACGATTGGGTGGTGGTTGGTGAGATGGAGGCCAACAGCTCCATGAAGGTGAAGCTATTTTTCGTGGGGTTATTTGTAAGTTTTTGAAAAATTTAGGAGTCAGATTGCAATTTGTTTTTTCAAACTTTTTTTTGTTGTTTTATTTAAATATGAGAGTATGTTTGTCATTTTATGTCAAAAATTGGTGAAAATGCCAAAAAGTAAAAGATATTAACATTTTACATAGTCACATTAAAAGATGAGGACGTTTTGTGGTAATTTATCAATTAAATAATGTACCATATTATCGGTGATTAGGAGATCATTTTCATAATATGAGATTGTTTTTCGTTCTCCTCTTACTCAAACTGTATTCAGAAATCGCAATGGTTGGAGGAATCATCAATTTTGAGTACCCGTGTACAAGGTTCAGCCTGTCCATGGCCATTATAATAGTCGTCACCATAGGAGCACTCTTCTTCACTGGTTTAGTCTCTGATGCTGCTACAATCGGTCCATGCCCTCCCACAGTGCTGCCACTGTAGTTGGGCTCGACCCTTTGGTCATGGAAACTTTCCCGACTTTCTCGTATTCTGAAGTGTAAGATCACGATATCGGTGAGGAATCCTTGGAGTGTGCTGTGGGTTCGAATGAGTTTGAAGATGAACAGACCTTGCGTTTAATACCCAAATGTAATCATGTCTTCCACCTTGAATGCATCGGCGCATGGCTCGACTCTCATGTTACCTGTCCGGTTTGCAGAGCTAATTTGGTTGAACAAGCCGGCCATGTGCTGGATATGACTAATGTGGAAAGCACCAGCCCTTCGAGAAATGATGCATTTATTACCCAATTAGCCGACTGCACTCAAAGTCAACCTCAACCGGAAGACACCTCGAGTTTTGAATATCCGAACCGCCCCCCCTTGTTCCTCGTCTATACTAAAGCCTGCTATGTTAGGTCTTGGTAAGTTCAAGTCGCATTCCCCTGGACATTCGAAGGCTCAACTATCGAACAACATTGACCGTTTCACTTTGAGATTGCCGGAAGAAGCTAGGAAGAAGGTGCTGAACCGGGCTCCATTTAATCGGACTAAAACAGAAGGGTCTGCCTCAAAGGTCGAGAGAGCATCACTGTCAGATATCTCAAACCGGACTCCGGTTTAGACAATAACCGGTATGGTATGGGATTTGGGAATGACTAGGATTTGGGACCACAGTTGGGGATTTTTCCGTTGACCAGAAGAGGTTGACTTTGGTGTTGTATACTTCCACTTGATGAAAATTATTGTTTTTCCTAAACTGTCCCTTTTTTCCTTGTTTAAAATTTTAAAATAGATTTGTCTACTTTTTCATATTTGTCCATCTGTAACATGTCGGTTCAGTTCAAGAAAATTCCCCGTTTCTCCAATCTTATGGTAAGCTCGAGAGATAACTGAACACTGTCTACTACAATAATGCGAGTCCACGGCAAATAAGTCAATTATGTTTACTCACTCATCATAGTAAGATTTCTTTGTTTCTACAGTACAAAATGAAAACGTTTCAGATTTATTTGAGTATCTTCCCGCCTTCAAACGCTGCTTATCCTTTCTAGTTTCTAGTTTCTAATCTATAAAATAAATCCGAATGTTTTTGATGTCTTATAAACGGTGAATTTTTGCAGACAAGTAATGCACACAGTAAATAACGTACAGGACACACACTGCACTATCTAGGAAAGTAGAATCGGACTCCGTTTAAGACCTTGGACTTACTGTTTAATTATATCGGAGTGAATTGGAGGAGGAACGTGCTGAAGAGAGATTTTTTACTAGTGGGATCAAGGACTGGACGACATCTGTCATTAGAGGTCGATAATCAGCTTCAGTTTGTACACACATAGCTGCAATAGCAGCCACCTGTTGAAACAAGAAAACGAGGGGAAATTTTTTTATCAAAACTTCATTGACATGTTCGGCAAGGGGGATTCCGGTCAAATATAAATCTTACTTGAATCAGATCCTTGTTCGAATATTGGCCTTGTAGAGCTGGATCCACCATTTCCTCTACTTTATCTCTGTTTGTTAAACGTGGAAGAGCCTGAGAATAATTGCACGATGCAGTTTAATTTGGAGAATAAGAATAGAAATAGCATGTTAGCGGTATGAAGTGAGCAGATTAGGAATCAACATCGAAGTATAAGCTTCTTGGAAACTTGGAAACTTGTAAAGGTGTAAATGATTCTTGTACCGACCCAAGAGACTAGGACGTGTTCTCCAGGAGGCCGATTGGCATCAATAGGCACACGGCCTGTTAAGAGCTCTAAAAGAATCACACCGTAACTGTATACGTCTGATTTTGTGGTAAGCTTGCCAGTCGAAGCATACCTGGATTTGGATCAAGATGTTAGTAGTTAAACAGTATTCTCCAAGGCCAACAGGCTTTTGCAGCTATGCAATTTGGAGGGACATTCCATTAGCTCCAATTTGGCCTATAAAGTCTAGAGATGTGCAGTTGAGAGGACCCAAAATTGCATGTCAAAAATTGTATTGGAAATGGTCAGATAATATAAAAACTCTTGGCACCAGTTTGTTTAGATGGTCAGAAAATCAGGTTAAAAATCCATTCAGTGCAGTATTTTTATGGTCTAAATGGGTAGAACTGAAACCCATTTTTACCTTTTAAATTTTTTGGTTTCTTAGACAGTGAATTTCGAACAGACAGACGTATTTTTGCTCAGCTGGACGATAAAAATCCTGTACTAATGAATTTTTTATGCCACTATATATTTTGTACTAGCCGAATGGAGGTAGACATAATGCGAAGATAAACAAAAATAAAATTTCAGTCACTATTCTGTAACAAAAAAAAGTTCGGTTATCAAAACGAGACAATGCTATGATTTGGATGACTGTCAGTGAGAGGACCACAAGTGAAAGTTAATTTTCAAGAATGAGTGTTTCACTTTAGCTAGAAAGTGATGAGTTGTGATTTGGAGTCCATTTTTGCTATTCAATTTGTTGTCTACTCAATTGCAAATTGCCGCATCACAAAAAATTAAAATTGTCATCAATTTTAATTCTCCAACCTTAACATCACTCTTAATTTTTCATGATATATCAATTTGTAATCGGGTGGACGGCATAAATGGATAGCAGATCTAAACTTGAAAGTGATAGCATGACAGATGGGGACTTTAGCCTGCCAAGGTGCATGATAGCGAGAAAGTTGCACATTCAATGAGCATGGCAATGAAGAAGACCATTAACAAACAAAGATAGATACAAGAAGGATGAGGATATAGAGCACTCACTCGGGGGCCAAATATCCCGTGGTCCCTAGAACGCGTGTTGAGATTAGGCCATTGACCTTGTCTGAGCCTATTTTAGCCAACCCAAAACCAGACAATTTGGCCCTGAAATTTTGATCCAACAGGATACTACTGCATTTAAAGTTGCGGTGAATGACAGACGGTATCGTGTGTTCATGCAAGTATTCTAGGGCCCTGCCGCAATCCAGGGCAATTCTCAATCGAATCCCCCAATTCAATGGCCTTGTTTTGGATTTATTCTTGCCCGGTTGGAGATGCTTTTGAAGAGAACCATTTGGCATGTATTCAAAAACAAGTAGTCTGTGGTTTTGATCTGCACAGTAGCCTAGAAGTTGCGCTATGTATGGACAGTGCAAGCGGCTCAGTAAATCTACCTGTTGCAGTAAAAAATAGATAAGGTTAAAGCAATCCGTTCGCCTCCATCTGTGGGGCTTAGTGATCGTTGTGAAATTTCACTGACAAACAGCATTTTAACCCCAAAAGAAAAAAAATCAAAAATTTATGTGGAATGAAATTACTCGAAAATTCAATTCAAACCCCACCGGTTAAAGGGAAAATGAAAAGCAAGAAACAATCTTTTTTTTTTTTTTGTTTTATCTATTACTCCATTTAGTCACTAAATCAAATAAACAACGTATCAGTTAACTATGTAGCGTATTTATTTGGGATGCTTAAAAAGTTAAAAATTTGAAGTCAAAATCAATGATTAATCTTGATCATACATTTCACGATATTCACAATTTTTATTAACTTCAACTTTTGCCCAAATATGTTAAACTTTTATTAGAAATTTCGTCAAACACCCCTTTAATTTTTGAGACACGATAATAAAATGAAAAGAAGGGTAATAATTGAAGTAACCGAACCTCTAACCGAAAAGCACGTTCTCCTTGCCTGCCTTCGCGGTGCAGCATCTTAATCGCTGCCACAGTCCCATCACTGAGGATCCCTCTGTAAACTACTCCATATGCTCCGTTCCCTATCAAATTTTCTTTACTAAATTTATCCGTAGCCATTTCCAGCTCCTTGAATGTAAATACTTGAGCATTTCTCAGTCGAGGTTGCTGCGCTCGACACGAACTGGTTCCGTACAGACACCCGCCGCTCTTCGCTTCCGCTGATTCGCAGTATAAAACAAATTGAAGTAAAACTGCAAAAGAAGTTGGAATTACAACTGGAGGTAGAAATTAATTACCTGGACTGGAATTGATGTTTATGGTGCTATGATCAATAAACATGCAATTGCTGTTGTTGATTACACCTTTACTACTTTTTGGGTTGCGATTGCATTTCGCAGATTGCAGGCGTCGGAGCATTACAATTATCAACAGAATTGCGAGAAGTAAGAACATAATAATGATCGGAATGACTATAATAAGAACGGAGGAGGAAGGGAGAATGTCATGGTGCCCATGGGGTTGAGGCGGGTGTATATGATGATGGTTATGAGTATGGTTTTCAGTTGCAGAAGCAGTACTGGTATCGGTTTCCATCAGCGCAAAGCCAAATGAAATGGAGAGAAAAAATGGAATGCAGTGTAAATTACGGTAGAATGACATTTGCCTTCCTTTGTAGGGCTCCTGCAATATTGCAATTAAAGAGGATTAAGAGCTTGTTTTTTGGGCGTAATTTTGAGAATTGACTTTTTGATCGTTTGGAGAAAATTGAGGTCCATCTGTGAAAGAAAAAGTCAAATATGACGATTGAAATAATAAAATGACGATCAAAAAATCAATTTTTTGGAACAAAAAATCACTCCCAAACAGGTTGTAATATTTAGTGTCCCAATTGAAATTTAACTAAACTTAACGGCCAATGAAAACCACTCAATATACAAAATTTAGGATGTGTTTGATTGTAAGTATAGAATTTGCATTGAAAGAAAATAAGTTTTAGATAGTTGAATTGTTTAGAAATTATTTGCATGAAATTTATTAATTAGTTTAATTTTCAATTTAGAAAATATTGTATCTGTCCATTTTTATTGGTGAACAGATGAGAAAAAGAAAGAAAGTAAATTACCTGAAAAATAAAAACATACCTCTCCCCAGTGAAAACGTTTCCTTGTTTTTGAAGAAAATATAGTCACATTACCAACTTTTGAAAAATATTTTTCATGGAAAAAAATGTCAATTCAACACTCTAAAAGTAGGAACTCTGGAAGGAAAATTAACATTTTCATAAAAAATAAAATCAATTAAACATAATCTTTAGTTCAATAGGACTTGAATGAATTAGTCTAATAGCTTTGCCTCGATTTGAGCCCCTTTTAGGTTTGGAAAGAAGTGATTTTTTGAATAATATGATTAAAAAGTAAAAAAAAATTTTGAGTTCATATTTAAAATTATTTTATTGAGATAATGTGTTGTAGAAAATGAAATTGAAAAAAAAAAAAAAAAAAGGACTCAAACATAGGCAAATTTTAATTTTAGTTTTTTTTATTATTTTCCTTATATTTATAAACAAAACTAGAAAAAAAAAACTAAATGATATAGGGCCTCTTTGACAAGGTTTGTAAAAGTCAACAGTTATTTTGATATTGAAGAATTGCTTTTCAATATGTTTGATGATACTAAAAGAAATTGATTCAAAACAACTTTCTCATGACTGTTAAACAAAAAATATAAACAAAAGCAAAAAAAACTACCAAATTACACCCATAATAAATTAAATTATGTTTTTTTATGCTTATTAGGAACTTATTATTGATGTGGAGTCCATTATATCAAAGAAGTTAGGCATGCATAGAGAACTACCACAAAACTAAATAATGAATATGATATTAACTTTTCTAATTAGTTAATATATTCAAACTTTACACACTAGTTACCAATGAACCCTATTTTTTTTTATGTAAAAATTAGAATAGTATTATGATAAAGAATGTATTGTTAAAAATAAGAAGAAGAAAAAAATTGAATTATTGAAAAATATGTGGTCGAAAATAAACGAGAAAAATGTATTTTAAAAATAATGGGGACCAAGCCAAATGAATCTAATTTTTTGACTAAAAAAAATCTCCTAATTTAGTTATGCTGTGTGTGATGGAAAAAATGACAAACAATAAATTAAACTTTAGAATTTACTTTTAAGTAACTTATTATTTCTAAACATATCAATATATGAACTTTTTTCTCATTTATAAGTAAAATAGTATACTTACTTTTGACAATAAGGTAAAACAATATTAGGGTTGTTAATGAGTCGAGTCGAATCGACTTGCGAGTTGAAGCTCACAACTCGTGCATAGCCCCGTAAAAAAAAGCTCGAGCTTTTTTAGCCCGAATCAAGCCGAGCCAAAGCACAGTTGAAATTTGGAAGCTTGATTCGAACTTTTGGCTTGTGCTTCACCAAGTTGGCTCACGAATTTTTTATATTTTAAATTTATGAAATATTTATAAAAAGACGTCAAAAAAAGTTCTTCTTGACTAAAATAAAATAAAAAAAATTGACTTGCATTTGAATGACAATTAAGACTATAGTTTGTGCGATGAATGTTGATATAATCTGGTATGAGAGACTATATTAATTGTATCTCTTTGTTTTTAAATTTCATTTCATTTTTCGTTTTCAGATGAGATAAGCTTTTATTTATTTGAAATTTATATATATATATATATATATATATATATATATATAGATATTTTACGAGTTGAACTGTGCAGCTCGACGAGCTACACGGACTGGCCCAGGCTCGAGCAAAATCCTGAAACTTGAGCTTAGCTCGACCCTTGGCTCGGTTCTATTGAGCTTGGAGTAGAGCCACAGGGCGTCCCTAGCCTACAGGCTCATTTGCAATCCCTAAACCAAACATGCACCGAATCATAAAAAAAAAAAATCTATAATGCTTAAATTTCAAATTAAATACATTATAAAAAAATAAATCTGGCCTATGTTTATTTTTGAATCTTTTTGAAATTTAGGACAGTCAAAGTTACTTTAATTATCTACCAGAGGTGGTTCAATGCAACTAATGCTTCTCCTTTCNTGAGCTGCACCCCCATCGCACTCTCATATCTGTTTACGTGGATGGTAGCGCTTGTCACTTGTCTCGTGGTGCCTCCGACGGTAGTGCCTGGTTAATATAGAAAGGGTAGAGAGAGAGATGAATTAAAGGGTGCTGAAGATTGAACTTTGGGGGTGAGATGGATGGTTTATTATAATAAATATGTATTAACCAATTTAATAAATCTGTATTTAGTAACTGATTAGTGAAATTTAAACTTCACCCCCTTGTTTTTGAGTTGTATACTTGAGATGTAGGGTTTTAGATAATTTTTTCCATTAATAAACTTACCACCCAATTCAAAAGCCCAAACACTGGATTTAAGTTCTTTGAGCAAATTTGGTTGTCTAAATAATGAATTCCTGCCCAATGGGAGTTTCAGTAAAAATCGGGATTTCGGGTTTGGGAACAGTATCAAATTGAAAAATACATTTTTCTTAAATTTTGGATTACTATAGTATAGTACCTGATTTCCGTTTCTTTAATTACAGAGTGAAATTTTCTAAATAACTAAATGACAGTTTAAAAATATAGGGCACATATCACGATCGTATAAGAGTAGGGTAATTTTTTGAATTTTTACATAACAAGGGGTAAATGGGCAAATTTTCCCCATCAATTTTGAAGTGCATTAATTAATTCATGGCCCAGTTCCGAAGCCAGTTCTTGGACCAAATTTGGTTGTCTAAATAAGGAATTGCTGCCCAATGCGAGTTCCAGCCCCGAATCGGGATATTGGGTCTGGGAATAGTATCAAATTGAAATACATAGTATTTTTCAAATTTTGGATTTCTACAGTATAGTATCTAATTTCCCTTCTATAATTACAGAGTGACATTGTCTAACTAACTAAATGACGTAAAAGCATTTTAGGTCAAGAATTTTTTCGATTTTGAGTTTGGCCCATTAAAGCTTAGATAATAAAGGAAATTCCATAAGATATAAAAGCCTTGTTTGCTTAAAATTCAAATTCAAATTATTCAAATTTTAATCTAGATTAAAATCAATAATTGATTTTAATCACTCATTTCATGAGATCCACTACTTTTCAACTATACATTTTATCAACTCTTATCAAAATCTATTAGAAATATAATTTTAATCCCCCACCATGGGCAAAAATTTTCATAATCTATAATATATATTAAAATATCACATGAAGGGTGAATCATTTTTTGGACGATTTTAACCCTTTTATAATTCAATTATTTCAATAATGCTTATTTTTTATTTTTCGATATGTAATAATTACTACAAAATTATTGTTATTTATGAAATTTGTGTTATTAATTCTTAATTAATTAACATTAACATTAATCTAGATTTAACGAACTTTCACTTGATAAATCTTGAATTACATGAATCTAGAATTATTATAGACGAAATTATTCATATTCATGTATCTGAAAATTTTAATGAGTGTTTAAATTTATGTATTAACAATTAATTTTTATGTATAAAATGTAATATAAAAAGATTACTCATTTATAATATTTCATCATTACAAAAAATTTGAATTATAGAAATTGAGTTATGAGAGTACAATTTGAGTATAATTTTCTTCTCTTAAATTTCTATGCTAAATTTTATATTCTTTAATATGCCCAAAACTCATCAAATCTTCCAACAAATTGGTATCAAATATTACTGTTTCGCGCGGGTTAATTGCTAACAATTAAAAAGGATCAAACGATTGTATAAGGGACAAACTTCTTGAGACAAAGTCCCAAAAAGGGGTGTTCTTTTATTGGCGATGACTTTACAATTGGAAATTAAAAACAACGTGCCTCCAAGGGGTGCAAGCACACGAGTTACTGAAAGAAAAATGTTTAAGTCTAAGCTAAGGAAATGAAAATTACATATTCTCTGTCCGAGAGTTTTGGATTCGGTCCTTTGCTTCTATGTCCTTTCTCCCTTTTATACTTCATGAACCTCTTTGTGATCAACCGCCCTTAAAAACTACTTGATCGTCCTATAACTGCCCACTTTCTTCATAATGGCCAACTTGTCATGAAAACTGCATTTCTTTAATTGCTGCCATTACTCTTCATTGTTCAACCGCTTTCGATTGAATTCCTTGAATCGTGGAACGTGATGGGGCTGCTTTGATAACTGCACCACAACGCTTTATGATTGTTAAAACCTTGGGCGACCTGAAGGCTTGAGCGAGAATAGGGTAACAGCTCTGGGCGACTGCATGACACTCCATTCGCTCAGATTCTGGGCGACTT